CCCCCCCCCCCCCCCCCCCCCCTCGCTTAAGCCGAGAGTTAAAACACACCTCCACCAACACAGTAACAAATCCACGGCCTGAAACTCCTCCACACGTCTAAGGTTGAGGGGCGCTCACAGATGTCACAGAGAGATATCCCCCCCCCACACACACACACACACACAGCGACAGACACACAAACACACTCTTGACAGGGGAAACAACAGGACTTGGTGGCAGCTGCTCTCTAGGGTCAGATTACAGATAAAGAAAACATTTTAGGGTCCAGGCCAGGAAAGCTGCACTCTGACGAGAACTGGAGACGCTGCCTTATTCCTCCTGACATACAGACACACACTCAGATGTATTTTCAGCACAAAATGCACACGTTAAACCTTATTACTGATCCTAGGAAATGTAAAAGGCGATGAGCTGGCTGGAGTGTCTGCTCAAAGTTTGCCGCCAGTGCCTTCTTCAGACTCATGAAAGCATGAGCCTAATCTCCCCCTAAAAAAATAAAAAAATCCCCACCCTCCCCTCTCCCTCCCGTGTCTGTGTTTGGCCCTAATAAATTCTCTCCAGCTCCTCCAATAACTTCCTCCTACTTCCTATCTGGCACGGCGCTCAGGAAACAATCAGAGCTGAGAGCGAGAGGAGGGCCCGGACGGCCAACAGCTCACACGGCAACGAGGCAGAAAGTCGAGGCGGGAGGGAAAAGTTGAGACGAAGAAAAAACGCGCCACATGCTCCCCTTGTCAAGTCAAACATTTTGCAGTTTGACACCAGCTGTATGCCCAAGAACAACAATAACGCTCAGAGCGACGCCTCGCACGCAAGAAACGAGGATGTGTGAAAGCGATCCCAGTTGGAAGAGTCCGACATATATTCTACGAAGCTCACCGCAACTGATTCCTATTTGTTGTTTTTTTAGTGAACAAATCTCATCGCGTGGAAACAGGGCTAACTCACTTTGAGGTGAGGAGAGGTTACTGGTTTCCCCAAATGAGTCACTGATGAACGGGTACCACACGTCGAGCCAGCGCACGAACCCAAGGCCCGGTTCATTCATTCATTGTTCTGTTTGAACGCCTATGTGGTCCACCTTGGATCGTCCCACTTTCAGAGTTAAGCCTGAATCCAGCTGAGGAGGGAAAGACTGACACAAAACGGTTGGCGTGCGCCAGAGTGCTTCTTTCTCTCTGTTTTCTTTTTTTTTCTTACAGCCTGAATCAGCATTTTATTCGGAAATTTTCCAGAGAAAGCAGCAGAAAAGCCATTCTAGCCTGAATTGGTCATTTTGTGGCGAGGGGAGCGGTTTTGAAGCCATAATCTGTGAAACCTTCAAGACATGCATAACTTGTGCAGCAGAATGCGCCAGCCAATAACTCATCCCACCATATAAACAAGGCGATAAAAGCAGCCGCGGCTTTGATCGGGGACATATAGAGGGGACTTTCACAAAGGAAAATTATGATTAGACATAAAAAATATGAACCGGACATTGTACTGTTGCACATTTAATGTATGCCCACGCGCTCATAAAGGCCCGATCACCCACAACATCACTCGGGACACCTGTGTCGCTTTATATTAGGAGCAAAACAAATAGCTCTTCGCTGCAGAGGGAGATCATCCCCCAGCCCAAAACACTCTGAGCAAAAGGATTAAAGGGGTTTCACATGAGTGCCCTTGGGTCACTGGAGCTCCAGTGCGACAAACAGGCCTCACACACACACACACACACACACACACACACACACACACACACACAC